GAACATGCTGTGCACAAGTGCTGTCACTGCTGCCGCCACCGTGCCCTGGGTGGTGGGTCAGAGGCCTCATGGGTGTTGCTTTGGATCTCGTGGTTGGCCTGTCGGGGACGTCGTGAAGGCAGTTTCGCAGCTTCTCGGTAGCCGTTTTGGGACCGTTGTGGGGCCTCCTCGGGGCTGTTTTGTGGCCTCTGTAGGCCTCGTTTGGGCCTCCTGGGTGCCTGTTGGGGGCATCCTGGGGCCTCTTGGGGGCTCCTTGGGGCCTCCTGGGGCACTCTTCAAGCCGGAGGGTCGAATTTTGGAGTCGTGGTCCCCTTCTTGGGCGCATCTTGGGGCCGTCTTGGGGCTCTGTTGGGCTGTCTTGGGCGACTCTGGGGCCGTCTTGGGGCCCTCTTGGGCATCCTGGAGCGGTCTTTCGGCGACTCGGGGCCCGCTTGGGCCGTCTTGGGAGCCTCTGGAGGCCCTCCTGGCCCATGGGGGGTCGGAGGCGGCGGCCTCCGAGGCCCAGGACGCAGAAACCGTGTAAAAACACAGGGAAAATGAGCCCCGGTCCCCCCATGGGGGGTGAAGGCACCTGTTCTGGGGCCGCCGGCCTCGCCCCCAGGGATATATATATATATATATATATATATATATATATATATATATATATATATATATATATATGTATGTGTGTGTGTGTGCGTGTGTGTGTGTGTGTGTGCGTGCGTCTATATTTTTTTTCCCAACCCTCCTTGGTTGGATATCGTTTTGAATAGAGCAGTGTGGTCGCGTCCCTTCTCCCGCCTCCCGCCTCTTCCTGTCTTGCCCGCGGGGGGCTGCGATCTGTGAAACTGTCGCCACTTTCGAGGCCTGCTGGGGGGCCCAGCACAGTGAGGGCCACGGGCGGACCCAAATTAGACCTCGCCATCCCTGGGGGGCTGCGATCTGGAAACTGTCGCCACAGCTGCCAAATTAGACCTCGTCCCTGGGGGGCTGCGATCTGTGAAACTGTCGCCACTTTCGAGGCCTGCTGGGGGGCCCAGCACAGTGAGGGCCACGCGCGGATTCAAATTAGACCTCGCCATCCCTGGGGGGCTGCGATCTGCGAAACTGTCGCCATTTTCGAGGCCTGCTGGGGGGCCCAGCACAGTGAGGGCCACGCGCGGATTCAAATTAGACCTCGCCATCCCTGGGGGGCTGCGATCTGCGAAACTGTCGCCATTTTCGAGGCCTGCTGGGGGGCCCAGCACAGTGAGGGCCACGCGCGGATTCAAATTAGACCTCGCCATCCCTGGGGGGCTGCGATCTGCGAAACTGTCGCCATTTTCGAGGCCTGCTGGGGGGCCCAGCACAGTGAGGGCCACGGGCGGATTCAAATTAGACCTCGCCATCCCTGGGGGGCTGCGATCTGCGAAACTGTCGCCATTTTCGAGGCCTGCTGGGGGGCCCAGCACAGTGAGGGCCACGCGCGGATTCAAATTAGACCTCGCCATCCCTGGGGGGCTGCGATCTGCGAAACTGTCGCCACTTTCGAGGCCGGCCTGCTGGGGGGCCCAGCACAGTGAGGGCCACGCGGATTCAAATTAGACCTCGCCATCCCTGGGGGGCTGCGATCTGCGAAACTGTCGCCACTTTCGAGGCCTGCTGGGGGGCCCAGCACAGTGAGGGCCAGGGGCGGACCCAAATTAGACCTCGCCATCCCAGGGGGGCTGCGATCTGTGAAACTGTCGCCATTTTCGAGGCCTGCTGGGGGGCCCAGCACAGTGAGGGCCACGCGCAGATTCAAATTAGACCTCGCCATCCCTGGGGGGCTGCGATCTGCGAAACTGTCGCCATTTTCGAGGCCTGCTGGGGGGCCCAGCACAGTGAGGGCCACGCGCGGATTCAAATTAGACCTCGCCATCCCTGGGGGGCTGCGATCTGCGAAACTGCCGCCATTTTCGAGGCCTGCTGGGGGGCCCAGCACAGTGAGGGCCACGGGCAGATTCAAATGAGACCTCGCCATCCCTGCGGGGCTGCGATATGTGAACCTGTCGCCACTTTCGAGGCCTGCTGTGATCCCCGTTTTCGAAGTGGCTAGGAGTGCTCAGGAATTGTAAATCATCAGCTTTATCAAGCCCTTTTCCTGTAGCCAGTGTCCTGCGAGTCTCCCGAATTCCGTCTGCAGACATATGTAACCCTCGCTCCGTCATCGCCCCCTTATAAAGTATCCTAAACTATTTGCGCCCCGCTTTTGCGCAGGGGTTGGGTACGTCGCCAGGGTAATTGTTTTTCTCTCTCTCTCTCTCTCACCCGCCCCCTCTCTTTGTTTCGTTGTTGTGTCTCGGTCTCTCTTGCTCTCCCTCTCTCTCTGTTTCTCTATGTCTCCTTTCCTCTTTTCCCCAACCTTCCTACGTTGGGTTCTCGTTTTGAATAGAGCACTGCTCGCGCGTCTCCTTGCTTCCTTCCTTCCCGCCCCTCTCTTCCCCCCTGCCATCCCTGGGGGGCTGCGATATGTGAAACTGTCGCCAATTTCGAAGCCTGCTGGGGGGGGGGCCCAGCACAGTGGGTACTCACCGCGGACTCAAATTAGACCTCGCCATCCCTGGGGGGCTGCGATATGTGAAACTGTCGCCACTATCGAGGCCTGATGGGGGGCCCAGCACAGTGGGTACTCACCGCGGACTCAAATTAAACATCGCCATCCCTGGGGGGCTGCGATCTGTGAAACTGTCGCCACTTTCGAGGCTTGCTGGGGGGCCCAGCGCAGTGGGTACACACCGCGGACTCAAATTAGACCTCGCCATCCCTGGGGGGCTGCGATCTGTGAAACTGTCGCCACTTTCGAGGCCTGCTGGGGGGCCCAGCACAGTGGGTACACACCGCGGACTCAAATTCGACCTCGCCGTCCCTGGGGGGCTGCGATTTGTGAAACTGTCGCTTCTTTCGAGGCCTGCTGGGGGGCCCAGCGCAGTGGGTACACACCGCGGACTCAAATTAGATCTCGCCATCCCTGGGGGGCTGCGATCTGTGAAACTGTCGCCACTTTCGAGGCCTGCTGGGGGGCCCAGCACAGTGGGTACTCACGCGGACTCAAATAGACCTCGCCATCCCTGGGGGGCTGCGATCTGTGAAACTGTCGCCACTTTCGAGGCCTGCTGGGGGGCCCAGCACAGTGGGCACTCACCGCGGACCCAAATTAGACCTCGCCATCCCTGGGGGGCTGCGATCTGTGAAGCTGTCGCCACTTTCGAGGCCTGCTGGGGGGCCCAGCACAGTGGGCACTCACCGCGGACTCAAATTAGATCTCGCCATCCCTGGGGGGCTGCGATCTGTGAAACTGTCGCCACTTTCAAGGCCTGCTGGGGGGGGCCCAGCACAGTGGGTACTCACCGCAGACTCAAATTAGACCTCGCCGTCCCTGGTGGGCTGCGATTTGTGAAACTGTCGCCAATTTCGAGGCCTGCTGGGGGGGCCAGCGCAGTGGGTACACACCGCAGACTCAAATGAGACCTCGCCATCCCTGGGGGGCTGCGATCTGTGAAACTGTCGCCACTTTCGAGGCCTGCTGGGTGGCCCAGCACAGTGGGCACCCACCGCCGGCTCAAATTCTACCTCGCCATCCCTGGGGGGCTGCGATTTGTGAAACTGTCGCCACTTTCGAGGGCTGCTGAGGGGCACAGCACAGTGGGTACCCACCGCAGACTCAAATTAGAAGCCGCTTTCGTCATTGTTCTCCTCCTGCAATCACCTTCCCTCTGCTGCTGCCGTGCTGATGGTTCGGCTTCCCGCGCGTTTTCTCCTGCTCTGCGTTCCCGACTCCCCATGTCCTCTTCGAGCCTGCAGCTGTCGCCCATCGTTCTTGTATGGTTCTCCTGCACATCATGCCATAGGCGCGTGTCCCAAGTAGCTTACACATCACGTTGATTGTCCATGCAAGTTTCGGGCAACTCCTCGTTTCCATTGATACAAATGGGTTGGGTACGTCACAGGGTATTTTTGTTTGTTTCTCTCTCTCTCTCTCTGTCTATCTCTCTCATTCCATCCCTCTCTCTCTCTCTCTCTCGCTCTCTACCCCCCCTCCCCCTCCTCGTTCATGCTTTATCTCATCCCTCGTCCCTCCCCTTTCCTTCCTCCCTCCATTTATCCCTCCCCATCCGCCCCCGCCTCCATCTCCACTTCCACCACCTCCTCCACCTGCCCCAATTACTCCAGATTTCATAATAAAAAGGAAGGGGTCTCAACCCTCCCAGACCAGAAATTTTAGACCCCCCAGACCATCCGTGAAAGGGCGGCCATTTGCCCAGACCCCCCCGAACCCTCCAAGACAGCTCAAATTAGACCCCCCCCCCCCGAATGTGACCCCCCCCACCCCTTTGTTATGGAATCTGGAGTATTCCTCCTCCTCCTCCTACTCCACCTCCTCCTCCTCCTCCTCAGTTTCCCTCCCCCCTCGTCGTCCCTCCTCCCTCCTCCTCCTCCTCCTCCTCCTCCTCCTCCTCCTCCTCCTCCTCCTCCTCCTCCTCCTCCTCCTCCTCCTCCTCCTCCTCCTCCCTCCTCCTCATCGTCCCTCTCTTCTCATCCAGCTCATCGTCCCTGTCTCTCTTCCTCCTCCTACTCCTCCGCCTCCTCCTCCTCCTACTTCCTCCTCCTCCTCCTCCTCCTCCTTCTCCTCCTCCTCCCCCCCCTAATCATCCTCGTCATCCTCGTCCTCCTCCTCCTCCTCCTCCTCCTCCTGTCCTCCTCCTTCTTCTCCAGCTCATCCTCCTCCTCCCTCCTCCCCTCCCTCCCTCCATCCATCCCTTTCTCCCTACCCATGCACCTCCGCCTCCACCTCCACCACTTCATCCTCCACCTCCTCCACCCCTCCTCTTCCTCCTTCCTCCCCCTGCTGCTCCTCCTTCTCATCCGCCGCGCCCCCGTCCTCCTCCTGCTGCCCGCGCCCCTCGTCGTCGCCGCCGCCGCCGTCGTTCTCTCACGTGTCCTCACCCTGTGTCTGCTTCATCCTCCACCTCGTCCCCCGCACATCCCCCCCCCCATTCCGCGCCTTCCCTCGCCTCCGCCCTCGTCGTTCAGTCAAGCAACGTGCGCAGCACGCGTCTCAGCTCTTCCAGGTTAATCTCGAGGTTCTGCGCGAAGATCCCACGCGGTGGTATCGTGTTGCGGCCGCTCAGAGCACGCTGAGCCCTTTCTACCATGAGATCCTCGTCTTCCCCCGAGGCGCTGGGCCACTGCAGCCGTCGTCCAGGGAGCCCATCTTCAAATCGCAGAGGAACCACTTCGATGCCGAACTCCGCGGCCAGACTCACTTCCTGCAAGCATGCGCCGGATTCATAGAAGGCAGGTGTCAACAATGCGATGAGAACTCTGGCTTGCGGCTCGCCGCGCTTAACCAACCGCATCTTGAATCCGCCACCGTGCCTGCACGATGCAGGCGTGTTAGAATGCCATGTGCTGCCCGGCGCTGCATTCTAAGAATGAACTCCCTCCCTTCTACCAGCATCGTGCTGCGTCCCCGCCTGGGGCAACGATCCCCTGTAACAAGAAGGGTCTGCGCTCCCGAGGCCGCGGTTGTGGGAAGAAACGATGGGTCCGCGTCCTGCGCTTCCAAGACGGCCCATGCAAGCAACCAGAGACACCAAGATGCCCCAGGATGCCTCGGAGACGGGTCAAGATGGCCCCACGGCGGCCGAGCATGTATGGTCCCAACGCGGCCCAGGGTGCCTCCAAGAGGGTCTAAAAAGGGCCACAAGATGACCTCCAACGGGGCTCGAGTACGCTAGGCTCATTGATGTCCCTGTGGCTTGTATAGGATTTCGCGTTCTCGCCTGTTCGGGCTTCTGTCAGCTCAGGGCGGCCCAGGAAGCCTCCATGGTGGCTTCACGACGGCCCAGGAAGCCCCAACGAGGTCCAAAAGATGGCCCAAGACGACCCCGAGAGGGCCCACGAGCCAGGCAAGACGGACCCAAGACGGCCCAAGAGGGTCTCCAATGGGATGGGGCCCAAGACGGCCTTGGACGGCCTTACGACCGCTCAAGACGACACCAAGGCGGCCCCCAGGCATCCCCCATACGGCTAAAAGGGCCAAAAACAAACTGGCCAAGAGGGCCCCCACGGACTTCCAATACCGCCTCACACGAAGGCGAAACATCTCAAAGACAGCCCACGCAAGTTCCATTCGAGCTCCCCAAATCATGAAGACGAAAGGTGTCACATGTGACGGATGTTCTCTTCCTTCAATGCCTCCTCTGCCTTTCGTCCTCATCGGTCATCCTTATCGTGGTCACCATCAGCAACAGCATCACCACAAACACTATCACCACCATCACCACCAGTATCATCATCATCATCATCATCAACATCATCACCATCATCAGCATCATCATCATCACTACTACCATTGTCATCACAAGCGTCAGTATCATAATCATGATCATCATCATCATCATCATCATCATCATCATCATCATCATCATCAGCATGACCATCAGCATGACCATCATCATCATCAGCATGACCATCAACGGCATCATCATCATCATCATCAGCACCACAGTGTAATCATCATTATCATAACCAACAGGAGCCACAGCAACGGCAACGCTATCATCATCCTCATCAGCATCAGCATCATCACCATCCTCCTCATCATCCTCATCCTCATCCCCATCATCGTCATCGTCATCACCCAAACTCATTGCCCTTGGCCAGCACTATCACCACCATCATCATCATCATCAGCATCATCATCAGCAGCAACATCATCCTCATCATCATCCTCATCATCAGCAGCATCAGCAGCATCATCATGATCAGTATCACCATCATCATCATCAGCAGCAGCATCAGCATCACCAGCATCAGCATCATCATCGTCTTAATCATGATCGCCACCATGCCCATAATCCTCATCATCACGGCTCTCCCAAGCCTGGAACCACGAAATGTCAGACGTCACGGCCTCCCGGCCAAGACAGCCTCGAGACGGCCCAAACGAGTTCCAAAAGAACACCTCAAATAATAAGGCGAAAGGTGTCAATGCGACGACCTTCCTCTTCCTCCTCCTTCTCCTCCTCCTCCTGCTGCTCCCAATCGTCATCATCGCCATAAGTACAGACACCACCACCAGCATCATCACCATCACCATGATCCCCACCATCACCATCATCATCGTCATCATCATCATCATCATCACCATCATCATCGTCATCATTATCAACAGCATCAGCATCAGCCTCCGCATCATCATCATCATCATCATCATCATCAGCATATCCATCCTCCTCCTCCTTCTTCTCCTCCTCCTCCTCCTCCTCATCATCATCATCATCATCATCGTCATCATCATCATCATCATCATCATCATCATCATCATCGTCATCGTCATCGTCATCGTCATCGGCACCATCAGCAGAAGCAGCACCATCATCATGGTCATCGTCATCACCATCGTCATCGTAATCGTCATCGCCATCGTGATCATCATCAGCATCATCATCAGCATCAGCATCAGCATCAGCATCAGCATCATCATCATCATCATCATCATCATCATCATCATCATCATCACCATCACCATCAGCATCATCATCAGCGCAGCATCATCACCATCACCATCTAATCCTCAACGCTGCCCACCCACACCAGGCGACACGAAGTGCCAAACGTGACGGTCTCCCGTGCCTCCTCGAACAATCGCCGCCCAGAACGCTAGGCTGGCATAGTGGCGGGACTTGCCGCAAGCAGCTGGATACTTCCCAGTTCCGGCCAACTGGCAGGGTCAAGCCAGAGTAGCACGGAAGGTCTGCGTCGAACAGTGCATGCATGAGGGCCGACACGTGCACAACTCCCGGGCCCGCCCCCTGCCCGTCGCAGCCTCCTCGCGAGCCAGTGGCGTACGACAGCACGATCTTGGGGTAGTAGGCCCTCAGGTCGTTGCCACACAAGGCCATCGCGCGCCTGCGGACAGCAGCCTGGAGCTCGTTTGCAGCAGCCAGGTCGATGGACTCGGGGACGCGGAACAACGCCGAGGGCGACGCGTCCGGCGCCGGCAATGCCCTGGGCGGCCAGTGGCGGCACGCCACGTAACGGAGGCAGGGCTGCCACCGCAGCCAGTGCGCCCAGCGGGTTCGAAGCGCCGGGAGGTCGCACTGCTGGAATACATTCCAGCCGCAGGCCACGGCGGCCCCGTCGCTCCTCAGGAGCACGGTGTGCACGCCGCCTGCGGCGACCTGCACGTACGCCAGGCCCTCGCCCAGCGCCGGGAGGTCGCACTGCTGGTATTGATTGATGCCGCAGGCCACGGCGGCCCCGTCGCTCCTCAGGAGCACGGTGTGCACGCCGCCTGCGGCGACCTGCACGTACGCCAGGCCCTCGCCCAGCGCCGGGAGGTCGCACTGCTGGTATTGATTGATGCCGCAGGCCACGGCGGCCCCGTCGCTCCTCAGGAGCACGGTGTGCACGCCGCCTGCGGCGACCTGCACGTACGCCAGGCCCTCGCCCAGCGCCGGGAGGTCGCACTGCTGGTATTGATTGATGCCGCAGGCCACGGCGGCCCCGTCGCTCCTCAGGAGCACGGTGTGCACGCCGCCTGCGGCGACCTGCACGTACGCCAGGCCCTCGCCCAGCGCCGGGAGGTCGCACTGCTGGTATTGATTGATGCCGCAGGCCACGGCGGCCCCGTCGCTCCTCAGGAGCACGGTGTGCACGCCGCCTGCGGCGACCTGCACGTACGCCAGGCCCTCGCCCAGCGCCGGGAGATCGCGCTGCTGGTATTGATTGCTGCCGCAGGCCACGGCGGCCCCGTCGCTCCTCAGGAGCACGGTGTGCGCGCCGCCTGCGGCGACCTGCACGTACGCCAGGCCCTCGCCCAGCGCCGGGAGGTCGCACTGCTGGTATCCATTCCGGCCGCAGGCCACGGCGGCCCCGTCGCTCCTCAGGAGCACGGTGTGCTCGTCGCCTGCGGCGACCATGGGGCCGTGGGTGGCCCGGGGGGGCCGAGGCGGGCCACCGCCGCGGAGCGGCTCGCCCGGGAGCTCGAGCCGGGAGCTTCTTGATGCAGCCCAGGCGGAAGCTGGACGAGGACGGGTGGGGGGAGGAGGAGGGGGAAAGCAGAGGGGGGCAGGCAGAGGGGGCGGGGAGCAGAGGACGGGGCGGGGCGCGGGGAGAAGGGCACGAGGCGGGGCAGGAGGGGGGGAGGAGGAAGATGGCGGGGGGAGGTCCGTCTGCTCGGAGCAGGGAAGGGGGGGGGAGGGAGCGGGCTGACGAGGCGGAGGGCCACCAGTGCGAGGCGGGGATTTACCCATATCCACCGCCTGGGAACTGACGCCCTGGTGCCCCGGCGGGCGGTGGATATGCATAATCATACGTTGGCCCCCGGGGGCCCGAATGTATCCATCTCCGCCGCCTGCGGAGGCCCCCGAAAACGGATCCTCCAGGCGGTGGTCATGTAGGAATTCCCGCCTCGGAGCCCAGGCCTCGGGCTCGGGGCACGGCGCCGCGGGCGGGCGAGGGAAGGGGAGCGAGGGCCCGAGGCGCCCGAGGGGAGGGGTCTGCAGGGGGAGGCGCCCGAGGGGAGGGGGGGGGAGCAGGGGGGGCGGGCCAGGGGGCGGGAGCCGAGGCCGAAGGGGGGGGGGGCAGGGGGGGCAGCGGAGGGGGGAGAGCCGCGTGGGTGGCAGCCGACGCCAGAAGGGAGAGTTGTGAAAGGGGAGGTGCGCTGGACCCTCCTCCAGGGGACGTCTTCGTTGGCCGATGGTCCCTGGAGGAGTCCTCGGCCCCCTCAAGCGGCTGCTGACGCCGTCGTGAGTAGATGCGGGAGGGAGGAGGGAGAGAGGGAGAGAGGGAAGAGGGAGAGGAGGAAGAGGAGAAAGAAGAGGAAGGAGGAGAGAAAAGGAGGAGGAGGAGGAGG